GCTCATATGCATGCGAAAGCTGGACAGTGAATAAGGAAGACCTTAGAAGAATTGATGCTTTTGAGTTATGGTGTTGGAGGAGAATATTGAAAGTGCCATGAGCTGCCAAAAGAACCAACAGATCTGTGTTGGAAGAAGTGCAGCCAGAGTGCTCCTTGGAGGCCGAGATGGCCAAACTTCATCTCTTGTACTTCAGACATATTGTCAAGAGGGACCAGTCACTGGAGAAGGATATCATGTTGAGGAAGACCCCCAACAAGATGGATTGGCCAGGTGGCAGCATCGATGGACTCAAGTGTGGCAGCAGCAGTGAGTTTGGCCAGGATCAGGCAGTGTTTCCTTCTGCTGTGTATAAGGTCACTATGAATCGGTACCGACTCCATAGCACCTAACAACAACACACGGCTTCTTTTTCTGTCTTCCTTTTTCATTATCCAATCTCCCCACGCGTGAGACGCAATTGAAAAGACCACGACTTGAGTGCGTGTCACGTTGGTCATCAAAAGACCATGGCATTTGGAGATCAAAAGGACGCCATTATGTTACTGTGGTTAGGTGTTGTCGACTTGGCTCTGACTCACAGTGACCCTATGCGCGACAGAATGAAACACTGTCTGGTCCTGTGCCATCCTCACAGTTGTTTGAGCCCATTGTTGCTGTCACTCTGTCAGTCTGTGTCAGTGATGGTCTTCCCCTTTTTCAGTGACTATTCGCGCACGCCTTCTCTGTAACCAGCGGTGGGAATCGCCAGCAGGCTCCGCCCCAAGGTCACTGCCCCATTCACGGAACTCCTGATACTACTAATCCCAGCAGTCACTGCGCTCAGATTCCCTCCCTCATTGGTCCTGTCCCTGGAAGGTCCGCCCCCTCTCAGCTCAGTTCCGGAAACCACAGGTCCCAGCAAGCTCCGCTCGGTCCCCCACGTGGAGCGCTGGACAGGAGCGCTTAGTCCCTGGAGTGACCCCCGGGCTGGCCTGAGGGCAGCCCCCGGCCGACCCCCCCCCCCCCCAGGCGGCATGAATCGCTACGTCGTGCCGCTGTCCGTGCTGGGCACGGCGGTGGGTGGCGCAGTGCTGCTGAAGTGAGTACGCGCTGCCTTTCCGGGCTCATTAATCCGGGAGGGGAGGGAAGTCCAGCAGAGACCCCCAAGTCCTCGTAGACCATGGACTTCTCCAGGCCTCCAAACCCTTAGCACCCCAAGAATGTGAGGGAGCAAACCGAGACTCAGAGGAGGATCAGACCCTTGTAAACATTTTGGTTAAATTCCTTCCGGATTATTAATTCAACACGAAGTATATACCATTTTGAATCTCAGTTGTCAGAAATTTAGAACCAAATGGGGTTGACCAACTTGGTAAGAAAGAGGTCCTGTTTGCTTAGCATAGATGCGTTTTCTTTTTCTTTCATCCTTCCCTTCTTCCCTTCCTTTCACCTCTATTTCTCTCTTCCAACATCCCTCCCTTCGTTCTTTTCTTGAATTTGGGATTATACTGCATGTTCTGAATTTACAGAATAGTAAAGAGCCGTGGTGTGGCGCTTTAGCATAAGCACTGGACTGCTAACCACAAGGTCAGGGGTTCACACCCACCAGCCGCTCCTGGGAAACCCCATATTGGATCACTATGAATTGTAACAGACTCATCGGGATTTAACAGCAACAAGGAGCCCAGATGGGTGTGTGGGTTAGGTGTTGGAGTGTTAACTACAAATTTGGCAGATCCAACCCACCAGCTGGAGAACGCTGAGGCTGTCTGCTCTAAGATTTACAGTAGCTGAAACCCTATGAGTTAAAATACACTTGAAGGCAGTGAGTTCTATGGAATAATACCTACTATTTGAGGAAGACCTGGTGACGTAGTGGTTAAGTACTCCTCTGCTAAAAACCTAAAGGTTACCCATTGGGAGAAAGACCCACAGTCTGCTTCTGTAAAGATTTACAGCCTTGGAGATCCCATGGGGCAATTCTGCTCTGTTCATCGGATCCCTATGGATGAGTATCAGCGCCATGGCACACAACCAAACCCAGACCAACCAAATCCACTGCCGCTGAGTCATTTGCAACCTTTTAGAGGATCATTTTTACAAAAGTGGGCATCCACATCTTTCCTCCACGGAGCAGCTTGTGGATTCACACCACTGACCTGTTGGTTAGCATCCTGACATTTAACCCACTGTGCCACCAGTGCCCCATATAGCACAAAGCAGCTCCTGGTGGTGCTATAGGGTTAGCGCTGGACTGCTATTCACTAGCTCGGTAGTTCAAACCTACCAGCCGCTCCTTGGGAGAAAGATGAGGCTTTCTTCTCCCATAAAGATTTGCAGCCACTGAAACCTTGTGCAGGGCGGTTGTGAGGCAAAGCCCACCGGATGGCAACAGCTTTGGTCTTTTTGATAGGGAAATGCCTTCTATGAGTTCACAAACAGGTAAGTCGGAAGCTGGGGTTGGAACCTAAGTGTGTCTGACTAGAGAACACATTGTGTTTTTTACACCACTCAGCATTGCATCCTGCTCTTCTCCCACCTGTCACTTAGCATTGAGGACTGAAGCGGGTGGCACCAATGGCTCACGTGCTTGGCTACTCACCAAAAGGTGGTTTAAACTTCCCAGGGGTACCTCGGAAGAAAGGTCTGGCACAATACGTTTGAAAAATCAGCCACAGGAAACCCGGTGGAGCTCACTTCTACTCTGACGTGATTCAGAATCAACTGGGACAGCAGCTGGTTTTGCAAAAGCGTGAACATCTGAGCATAATTCATGGATGTTCTCACTGGCGGTCCTGTGGTTTCATCCGTACCGGCTCCTGGTGGTTTGCATTTTTGTCTGTGTTAAGAGACAGCACTGAGTAAATACACTTGGACGTGTGCCAGCACCTTTAGGATGGGTGTCTGGAGTGCAAGGGAGAGCCACATTTATAGCTTGGTTGTTCACTGCTGAGGTATCGAGTCAAATGCTGTCTCGTACTGTACCAGCCACACGATCAGTGTCAAATGGTTCCAGATCTGACTGTAGTGATCCGTAGGGTTTGTTGTTGATAACTACACAGCAGAACAGACAGCAGTTCAAGTGTCTATTTGTACAATTCAGTGACGTGATTACAGTCTTTGAGTGGTGTGTCCCATTCTTGCCCTCTCTTTCTGAGTTCCCCATAAACAGAAACTCACTACCCCTAAGCATCCTGTCTAGTTTCTTGAGTTTCGTTTGTCAGTGTGACCCCATATAGGTAGATCTAACAAGCGCACAATGCTCAAGGCAGATAGTCTTTATTCCTTAAGCTAACCTATGAGGGCGCTTCAAAAAGTTTCTGGGAAAACCCCAATATCTTTTTTTGTTAGTTAGTTTGTTTTTTAAAATGTTTTATTGTGAATTATGTGATCGTTTACACAGGAGAAAATTAGCTTTACATTCATCCTATTGTATATCGTTTCATTGCCATGGTTACAATCCCCTCCATGCATCATCAACCAACCAAAGGGTATACCCTGCAAGCCTGCCCCTCAGTCATCAGC